AACCCTAAACCCTAAACCCTAAACCCTAAACCCTAAACCCTAAACCCATAAACCCTAAACCCCTAAAACCCTAAAACCCTAAAACCCTAAAACCTAATACCCCAAAACCCTAAAATTGAGTTGGCACGCATTTCACCGTGAAGCTTCTAGCCAAGAAAACTTGAAATACATATTTATTTCAGCTGGGAAGAAAACTAATAGTACTAACTCTTGCTGAATGAAAATTGAGTTGGCACGCGTTTCACCGGGAAACTTCTGGCCAACAAAACTTGAAATACATATTTATTTTCGAATGGGAAGAAAAATAATAGTACTTGCTCCTTGTTGAATGATAACTGAGTTGGCACGCGTTTCACCGAGAAACTTCTGACCAAACAAAACTTGAAATACATATTTATTTTCGACTGAGAAGAAAATTAATAGTACTAACTCTTGTTGTATGATAATTGTGTTGGCACGCATTTCACGGGAAAACTTCTTGCAAACAAAACTTGGAATACATATTTATTTCGGCTGGAAGAAACTAATAATTCTAACTCTTGTTGTATGATAATTGTGTTGACACGCATTTCACGGGAAAACTTCTGGCTAATAGAACTTGGAATACATATTTATTTCGGCTGGAAGAAACTAATAATTCTAACTCTTGTTGAATGATAATTGAGTTGGCACGCGTTGAGGGTTCGAATAATTGAGTTGGCAATCATTTTACCGAAAAACATCTGGTCAATACAATTTTAAATGCATTTTTATTTTTTACTCGACAAGAAAATAATAATATTTTAAACTTTTTTTATGCTAACTTAAACAGAGATTCATGATGATAACAGATGACTAACTCTTGCCTTAATATTTTTTTTCTCTTATTATGAGGGAGCACTATATTTCTCTTGAATAATTGATATATCTTTTAAATAATACAACTTTTAAATAAAATAATATGATAATAAAATTGACACAAGTTTCACCGAGAAACTTCTAGTCAATACATATTTGTTTAATTGTCATAATTTTTATTATTTAATTTTTGTTATTGTTTAAATTATTTTTCTATATCTTATTTAATTATTTTTTCATACTTTTTAATGTATCTTATTTGGTTTGAATATATTTGCCTAATTTATAGTTTTAACATATATTGTTTTATTTTCAATTATATTAGTTTTATTATTAATATATTTTAATGTTATATCAAATTTATTTATAACGTAAATTTAATATATCATACAATATTATTTAAATTTATCTTATTTATGATGTTGTATAAGTGCTTATAGTAAGGCCTAGGATAGAGGGGTTGAGAGGTGTAAGGACCTTGTTTATTGGACTCGTGTAGTAAGGTGTTTGAGGGCCTAAGGTGGGATAGTAAAACTTAGAGATGGGTTGTAGTATAGGTTGATATAAGGGTTAGTCGTCGTCGGCTAGACTGCTTTGGAGCAATAGTGTTTCTGAATATCAAATTTGGTGTGAGATTAGTTATTTAGGTCGGTTATTTTTATTCAAGAATAAATAAATTTATCTAATTTATTTTATATGTTAACTAATTTCATTTAACATTCTTTTGTTTTCATATTTTTTATATTTTATTTTTTATTATTTCATCATTTAAAATTTTATATTAGTTTTATTAATATATTTTAAATTAATTATTTAATATTTAAATAGTTTATTATTTCGTATTATTTTGTATTACAATATTTTATTTTATTACTTATTTATTCTAATTTTCATTTATCTTACTTATTATAAAGTTGTTTTGTTTTATTTTATTTTGTTACTAATTGGGCTAGGTTGTCTTGAGTTTGTGGTAGTTAATTTTTTTGTGGGCTATGTGATTAGGTTGGACCAATTATGTATTTAACCCAAGGATGGGCCGGCCCAAATTCAATCCCTCGCATATGAAGTCTACTGTAAGGTGGGGCAGCATATATCATCAATAAACACCCCCTACATACAATGAGTAATTCAATCAGCCAACTCATCTCCCTCTTTCTAGATCCAAATAGCAGTTCTGAGACGGAGCTCAACCTGAATATCGGTAATCCAACTAGAACAAATTAAGGGAAAAAAATCCCAAGTTGGTAATATCTAGTACAACTCATCAATAATCAGATTATGGTTCCAAATTGTACAAGGTCTCTAAAAGAAAAGAAAAAAAAAAGTAAACTGAAAAATGTAACCACAATAGCCCATAAATTCATATGCAAAACATCCAAAAATCCTCAACAAATGCATGTAAACAGCATAACATGTAAAATAAAGATACATTAAACACAGAAGCACAAATTCTCCAAGCATATAAGTTTTGGTTTATAATGACACTGACCTGATGATAGTAGGGGCAGAATATCACGTTGCAGGCTAGATTCACCAGGCAACTTATGATGCATTGTTCTTATTTGTTTCAAATCCTTCTCCACCAGGAGGTAAACTTATTTTGCCGTCAACAATATTAGAATCCGCATTGCTATCTTTAAGCATGCCTCTTTCTCAGTTTCTCGCATGTTGATGCGGTGCTCCACCAACCCTACATTCTTCATGAATTGGAAGGAAAACAATAATGAATACACAAATTGTAAAATAAAACCTCATTTCAAAACTAATAAATATTTTTTTAGACAAAAATAATATGCAAAATAACTCTCATAATGAAATCGGGATCTAGAAAAATGCTATTCATGTTTTAAACAACGTCACAAGTATAAGACCACTGGTTAGTGACTGCACAGTTATACAGTGCCAAAGTAATATACGAATGATGACTTGAATAAGTCTCCAACAAATAATAAACCAAATATATTTCTGCTTACGTCCACAATGTATGCTTCAGATTTGAGGAATGAATCAATCAATCAAGGAGACAAAACAATAAGTAATAATACATAATATCTGGTGCTTGCATCGGATGATGAAAATTTGTTTGTTTGCTCATTAGGTAAATAAATGAGTCCGATTTTGAAATATTTAACTAACAGCAAATTAGAAAACAAATTACAGATTGAGCACAACATCAACATATTGAAAGCAACAAGACGAGAAAGGATTTTGGTACCAAACGAGGCACGCGTGTCAAGGCAACAGGCAGATTTCCTGTGTCGTTCTTTATGTGTCGTTCTTTATGTAGAACTGTACCATACAGTAATATTGAGTAGATTTTCATTTGAATTCATAAAAATCATAGACTGCAAACCCAAACAAACAATGAATTAGATAGATGATTCACACTAAAACAGCCTTTATTGCATAACCATACTCTTGTACCTGCTACAATCTCATTAATCCACCCTCCTGAATTCCCTCTATTGTAACCATTGTATAACTCATCGTTTATCTCTGAAGTACTATTACGCCATAAACGCATTGCCTGAATGCAACTTACATCTAAAATTTACACAAACATAGGTTTTAGAAATACTAAATGACTTAAAGGAGAATTCAAACTTTTATATAAAAAAATTCAAAAATAATGATCATAGGCAGTCTTCTCATTAAATGTAAATATACCTTGCTGTAATGCAACATAACCTAACCAGAGGGGAATATCAAATTTAGAATTTGATGT